TCTTCCTCTCCAACCTGTCCTTTGTGGACATCTGCTTCACCTCCACCACCATCCCCAAGATGCTGGTGAACATCCAGACACAGAGCAAGGCCATTACCTATGCAGGTTGCATCACCCAGATGTACTTTTTCATACACTTTGCAGGGCTGGACATCTTTCTTCTGACTGTGATGGCCTATGACCGGTATGTGGCCATCTGTCACCCCCTGCACTACACAGTCATCATGAACCATGGGCTCTGTGTGTTGCTGGTTCTGATGTGCTGGATCTTGTGTTTCCCAAATGCTCTGTTACAAAGCTTAATGGTGTTGCGACTGTCCTTCTGCACAAATGTGGAAATCCCCCACTTCTTTTGTGAACTTAACCAGGTGGTCCACTGTGCTTGTTCTGACACTTTTCTCAATGACATAGTGATATATTTTTCATCTTTACTTCTGGCTTTCTGTACCTTCACTGGCATCCTTTACTCTTACTGTAAGATCGTGTCCTCCATCCGTGCAATCTCTTCAGCTCAGGGCAGGTACAAAGCCTTCTCCACGTGTGCATCTCACCTCTCTGTGGTCTCCTTATTTTATGGCACAAGCCTGGGTGTGTACCTCAGCTCTGCTGTGACCCCAAACTCACACTCTACTGCAACAGCCTCTGTGATGTACACTGTAGTCACCCCCATGCTGAACCCCTTTATCTACAGTCTGAGGAACAAGGACATTAAGAGTGCTCTGAGAAGACACTTGGGAGGGCAACTATAGACAGTAATTTTCCTTCTTTGCCTGGTGAGTCCACTTAACATGGTGTGCTCCAATTCCACCCAAGTTGTGCTGAATGACAGGACTTCATTCTTTTTTTTTGACTGAATAATAGTTGACCATGAGCTTGAACTACATGTATTTTTCTGCTCTTCAGCCAATGGACACCTTGGTTGATTTCTCATGTTGACTATTGAAAATAGGACAGTCAACATGTATATGCAGTTGATCATAGTTTTCTTACTCTAACACTTTTTATTTTGTTAGTGGAATTTATACAACAAAGAAGAAATATTATAATGTTCTCTCTGTGTCTCAACACATAGTTGTCTCCATGTTTCACTGTGCAATTCGAAGGGTTTCTTGGTTCTAGAACCTTGAAGTGCCTTGAAGTGCTGCAGCCTTGATGGGGTTCACCATCATCACTCCCTAAAGGAGCCTCCTCACCCACAACCTGTGGAATAAATACATAAAGCTGGCCCAAAAATATTCTTTGGAAAGAAAGCCTTTTTCAGGATGAAAAAGTGATTCTGATGGCTAAGCCCCAAGCTTCAAAGTCAGAAATGGTGATTCTGTCCGGTGGTGGGAGGAGAGCCTATCTTTCCCTTTATATCCCACAGTTTCCTTCTCTATCTTCATTAATATTCTGCTTTCTCTGATTCTCACACGTTTCTTCCTCTGGCTACCCTCCTGCTTTCCTGCAGTTATTTCTTGTGTTGCATCAGAAAATATATGAAAATTCCTGTTTTGTTTAATATGATATTTTGTGCACCATTATTACATCCTGTCTATGACAAAGCAATGGGAGTGTGTAAGGCAGCCAGTTCTCATGGAGTGACAGGGAATGTGACCATGAGAGGTCACCATGGAACTGAGCTTATGAGTTACAAATATATTTCCTGATTAGCCAAGATGGCCCTGGGAGGAGACGCAGCAGAGCAGCATCCAAAGGAATAAACTCCCATGATGGGCTGATGGGTGGGTGGATGGGTGGATGGGTGGATGGATGGGGGAGGAGTGAGTAGAGGGGAAGACATGTAAGAAAGCAAAAGTATCAGAAAGTTTCTTGCAGATGTGTGGTGAGTTAGTGGGATTAAGCTCTAGGCACAATTCGGTCACCTCAGTGTACCTCTGAAAATTTTAATAATAAACTGTTGGAAAAGATCACCTGTTGTCTTGGTTGGGAGCAGATCCTGGAGAATGTATGTTTGGAGATGTCTCTGGATAATCAGGTGCTACCACCCACACACACTTAAGTGACAAACTTGACCAATAGCTGTGGACAGTGTTGACCACTGTGGGAATGAGGACGTCCAGAGCCCAACCTGGAGGTGAGGTATGCACACCTTGGTGGGCTCTGTGTCTAAGCACTGCAAGCTTCTCACTGTTGGTGGGTAGATCAGGGATGGGAAGTTCCTTGCTGTCACAGAAGCAGAGTGTGGCATAGAGACCCCGATTTGCTGACAGGGAAGGGGGAAGGAGACAGAGGGATGTTGGAAAATGTTATTATATAATCTTTTTATTCATGTTTGTTAATTATACAGAATGGTGGGCTTCATTGTGCATTGGTATATTCATTAAAATAGACTTTATCACTGCTGTATGTGACATTTTTTCCATTTTTTTTTGGTGGTGGTGGGGGGTGGGGTTGATCTCTTTTTTGACAAGTCTAATGGATGTGCTTCATACCTGTCTCTAGACTTCTTTCAAAACGCAAAGACCTCCCTGGACCATATTCTATAAGAACCTGTGCAGACCATGATGATGGTGTACTTTTAGGATGGCATTTTTCATAAGATTTATCCCTGAAGACAGCAACCATACACACATTTATCTCATTGTTTTCTCTATTCACCAGAATGATATCCACACATCATCCACACAGATATCCAGGGACTTCACCTGCTATGTAGGTCCTTACATTCTCATGGTATTGTGTAAATATATGTGCACTATGTATAGAAAATATAGCAAAGAAGCTTAGGGAACAAAATGATGGCAAGAAAATAAAGCCAATTTAATACAGTGCTTTTGACATTCATTGGCAGATGAATAAATACAATGTAGTATATATTACACAATGAAATACCACAAGCTCTCATTGTTTCATTTACAACAACACGAGTGACGTTGGAACATGCCACACTAAGAGAAGTATGACAGGTACATTCTGTCAGATGCCCATGAAATAAGAAAAACATTATCTTAAATCATTTGCCTTGGGGATAGATAATTATGCAGCAGTGGGTTACTGATACAGTGATTGATACAAACAGATCAGAGGTCATTCAGAATAATCTGTTGTTTCTTATTTTTGGTGTCTGTTCTAATATTTGATGGCATTATTCCTAATGACCTGGATATTCATGTTCATTTCAGATTATTGTAATAAAAAGAAGAATATGATTTATATTAACTTTAAGCATTTGGGAGTGATTGAAACCATATTTTAAAATTTTCATTTATTTTTTATTATTGGATTACAATTGTAAATAAAAGAGAGGTTCTTTATGCCATATCTGTGCATTCACATAACATTTTTTTTTAAAATCGAGAGAAAGAGAGAGATAATTTTTAAATATTTTTTTTTTTAGTTTTTAGTGGACAAACATCTTTATTTTTTTATTTTTATGTTGTGCTGAGGATCGAACCCAGCGCCCCGTGCATGCCAGGGGAGCGCTTTACTGCTTGAGCCAACTCCCAGCCCCATAACACAATTTGATTAATCTTATTCCCCAATACCTTCCTTTCCCTCCAGAGCAGGTTTTCCCCCCCTAGAAGTACCCTGTAGGCCCAAAGCAGAAGTCTCCATCCCCAGAGCCATAACTGGGCCTCTTAGTCAATGTCTTGCATGAGTCATCCTTTGACCATGAGGTTTCAAGAGAATTGAGGAGATTAAAGAGGAACTGATGACAGTGATGCTCCTGTCACTCACTTACACACTAATGAGTGTGGCAAAGCGTGTAAAGGGGGAGATAGTTTGTTAATGACAATGGAGGGAGTCATATTAGTTGGCAGCACTGGAGAGTTTTAAGCAGAAACATGAGATGAAATAATACAGAAAATTCACCAGGTCCTTCTGCCAAGTGGAACCCCATGGTGTGGACAACAAGTGTCCATACTTTGGTGACTAGATGTGTGCATGGACCCAGCGTGACACAGCTGCAGCTATCTGGAATCTTAGCCACCACAATTGCCACAGAGTAACCCACGGTGGTGTTTCCTGCAGAGTTTCCAGCAAACCCTAGCAGACCAAGCCATCAGCCTGGTGTGTGCAGCTGCACAGCTGGACTGGCTCCAGGGACGCCCCTGATTTGATATAAGCCTAAGGTAAACCAGGCACATTCTGGCTCAGATGAAGTCATTGTCCTAACCCACATATATATGCTCTTCCTTCTGACCCAAAACTGCAGGGATCCGCAGTAGAATTAAGGTATACACCAAAGCTCATGAAATAAAATAAGGAGACCACAGAGAGGTGAGATGCACAGGAGGAGAGGGCTTTGTACTTGCCCTGAGCTGATGGTCCAGGACCAGGCTTTCTGTCAGTAAGTCCTCAGTAT